CAATTAAAGTTGTACATCATGTAGGTGAAGCGTCCTACTTTTAACATAAATCGGCTAATAACTTTCGTCCTGATGGGTATGTGGGGGCACAAAAGGACATTACAAGGATTTGCTCTCGTCGGGGAATTCCAAAACCGGGTTTGTATTTTTTAATCTTGCTGGGAGGGACGATTGACGTCACTCTAGGTTAACCTGAGTGTTCCATGCAAACGCACAATGTTTTATAATTGTAAGACTCAATTCAATACATTTTTAATTTATATAGTTATGTTTTGTAATGTTGCAGTAATTTCATCATTAGTAATTAAATAACGCACTTTCCTGAGTTTCGCTTTTTGATGTAATGACTGAATATGGACTTTTGTTGTCATATAACAGCTTCAAAATATCGTCTACCTGTGAATGGAAATTTACGTTGTTTGGAAAAGTTTCGTTTTAAATTAATGGGACAGTGGCAGATTTTTGGAGTGCGAAATTCTGTGGGGCGAAATATCTACAGGTAGGTTTAAGTTCATGGTCTTATCAAGTCATTAAAATTTTTTCAGTTGCGGTCACGGTAATGCATATAAACAACATTAAATTCATGATTAAAAAAAAAGTAATAAAATATGTATTAAAATTTATTTTGTTATTACCTACTTTATAACCGACTTTGTTTTTTATATAATCAAATGTACTTTTTCCATGTGCGGAATGTTTGTCCAGAGTACTAAATGTCAATGCTTTAAAAACATATATATCTTTCTGACTTTTGACTTATTTTCGTAACGTACTAAACAAACATAATTTCTTGTTTGTTGTGTCCTTTAAAGGTGAACTGAATCAGTTGTGTTGTGAAAAAAATTTTTAAATTTAAAATTGCATTTACGCACATAGATTTAATTATTTCCGTTTAAATCTCAGCATCGTTTTAAAATGTTAATAAGTTCACATTGTTACTGAAATGGAAATCTACAGTGCAGTCTATACTTATTAAATTTTGCGTCTTTAAAATGCCTTCCTATTGTTTGATCGAAGACTTATTAACACACTTTTAGTTAAACCAAGGTAAAAATTTTAGTCTCGACTTTTTTTCGAACTTATTTGTGCCATTAAACATCCTTGATGGTCGCGAAGTTAAAATATCAAGGCCGTTAAAAATTCGAAAAAAAAATTTTTAATTCCGAAGATCACAGTTTTTACGTACGTTGCATGAATGTAAAACGTTAATAACTTCGTGGTAAAATTTAATTATTGTAACCTGTTTCTGTTGTAGTCGAGGAGATAATTAAGCGGTTTTAATTAAGCAAAATTTATGTTAAAATTTCCGATCAACTTCTTCTACTTCAATTTACATACACAATGCATACCTTTTCAAAACTGTTAGTTTCATTTTAAATTTTTTCGGCATTTAAAAACAGTGGAAATGTATATCACAGATAAAATTGATATATGTAAGTATACATACATATACATATATGGTAATTGTGTTGTACATGTGCAACAAAAAATATCTTGATTTGTTTTGGCTTATCTAATGTGGGAAATACGTTTTCGTGAAAAGTGTTTACGACACCATTTCAGATATTGTTAGACATATGACTTTTAAATGTATGCCACTCGGTTCGATAATGGTGGCATTTTTTCTTCTATTCAAAATTTTTACTTGTGATTTGACAATCCATTCCTGCTTTTAATTGTTCCTTTGCAGATTACTGCGAAAAATATAGTTAATAATAGTCAATACACAAGGTCACTAAAAAAAGTTGTACGGTTCTTTAAGGACTATACTCTAAAATGATGTATTTTTAAATATACAGAGTGTTCTATTTTTAAGGCGGAACACACAACTTGGTTTTTTTATTTTAGTACTGTATTCTACGAACATTTAAGATTTTCATCGTCTATTTTACCTCTTTAGGGGAGGAATTTCAATAAATCCAGCCTTATTTTGTGTATCAGAAATTTCAGCTTTCTATGAATATACTTTAATTAAACTTGTCACTTAAACTAGTTAATTTAGATTTGTCCTGTTACTGGAATGTTTGATTCTAGTAGACAACCCACTATTATTATTATTATTAAAACAACACAATTTTTCATGTTTCAAAGTGCAACTTGATTTGATGTTTTTTTTTGTGTTTGTTTGGTAAAAATTGCAGTAAGAACTATAATTAATTTTAAATTAGTGTTGCTTTAACTACCACAAGGACATTACGTCAAAAACATAAAATTTATTTTCGACGGGTACATTGCAATAATTAGTTCCTAGTATCATGGAAGCGGACATGTTGTAGATAAAGTTTGAATTTGCAGCACCTTGTACCGTAAACTCACTTGACGTACACCATCAATTGATCATGATTATACTTTACTATTTTTTATTCTACTGTTTAAAAGTTAACTAACTTTCCAAAGTCAGCTGTTGTTACAAAAATTTTCGACAAAATATTTAACATAAATAACTTGTCCTGAGCGTAAAATTTAGGACACCTATAACCGTACTAAGACGAAATTAATAGTTTTTCCACGAATTGCATGTAACATGTATTTATTATTTGTCCCGACGTATCTAGATTTCAGTAACCGTTATAGAACTGATCTTAACTTTGATGTAGCCATGAAATTAATCAAAATCCGGTCTATAAAGCTTGTGATACGTAATTGTTAAAAGTGGCACGCAAAGATGACAGCTTGTGATTCGTAATAACTGTTAAAAGTAGCGTGCTTTGTTTTTTATTTTTTTCCTACGATGAGAAAGACATAGATTTTCGTTTTTTTTTTGATAATTTGTTTAAATGAAATACGAGTCATGAAACACCCTGTATTTTATTATTTTTTGTCCTTATTCTTATAATATTTCAATGTGTCCCTTAAATAAGTAAAAAAATCCAGCAACTCTCAGCTTCAAATATATAAAATTATTCGCAAAGAGGAAGAGAATAACAAATAAAATAAGATGCAGTAATAAAACATAGGGTATTCTATTTGAAAATTGTAATAATTAAAACATTTTTTTATAAACACTCTGTACGTCAAAATTTAATCTCATTTATACCTTCTTTATCTCTCTACAAAATGTTGTAACACAGATTTTAAAAATAACCCTACTGTGATTTTTTTATGGACACATTTCAAGAAAATTGGAATGACGTGGCAACGTCTCATCGTAGCTTAAAAAATAAACTCTGGTTGTAAAGCCTAAAAGGAGGTTAGTCAAAATGTGTAAAGATGTAAGGTGTTTCATTGAAAAAAACCTAAATTTTGTATTGCACCTTAAAAATAAAACACTGTATAGTTGCTGCATTCATATTTTTTAAATTTGCTTAAACAGTGACTCAAAAAAATTAATGAATGCGTGAATTTATTTTCTTGATTTAATCAGGAACTGTAAAACCACATCCTTTGAAATCTTGGTAAATTTTTGACCAAAATGTATTTGCTCATCCCCCCCTAAAAAACTGATGACGTCACCTCAAAATATTGCTGAATATACTTATATGCCGTCTTAAATGTGCAAAATATGATCAGTCTAACTTGTGATTTATTTTTAATAGATAATTAATATTTTTTAAATTATATACAGGGTGTCTCAGAAAAATTAATGACTGAGTTGTTAAAAAATAAATATCCAACCAGTTTTAGGAATTTAACTCATTACTGTGGAAATATGCAATTTAACACCTTTTAAATTTAACAAGTTTTTACAAGTTTAATAGGGGCAAAATCAGTCTTATCTTAGCAAGTACTAGCCCCGCCCACCCGCCCTCTATTTTCTCAGAGGATATGTCAGTTGCCAAAATAAGCTAAATCTTAGCAAGTACTAGCAAGTACTACCCTCTTGCTAAGATAAGATTTATTTCGGCAAACGATATATCCTCTGGGAAAATAGGGGGCGGGTGGGCGGGCCCAGTATTTGTTAATGTAAAACTGATTTTGTCCCTATTAATCTCGTAAAAACTTGTGAAATTAAAGGTGTTAAATTGCAAATTTCCGTAGTAACGAGTTAAATTCCTAAATCTACCCAAAATGTGCAAAATATGATGAGCTTTTACTTGTGATTTATCATTGAATTCATATTTTCTAGATTTGCTTATATAGATGCCTCGACCAATTTTTTCTGATGAGTATAATGAGAGATCGAGGAACGCGCGCTTAGTGATTCACCCTGTACATATTATTTATTCATCCTCTTCAAAATGTTCTTGACCCCTTTTAAGAATTAAGAATTGGGAAAAAGATGCTTTCACATGCATGTGGTATTTGTTATGCTTCAGAGGCCAAGGAAAGTTCGTGCAATTTATTAAATAGATTTTTATCATCCTTGCAAATATAACGATCGATTTCGCGATCTTTTTCAGATTACCTCACTTACCCTTGCCTCAAAAAACCACAAAAATTAGACTACCGAAACAAATTTTTTCAAATTAGAAAAAAATGTGTACTTTGGAGAAAAATTGAGGCGTTGGTGGATTTTACATATCTGAAAATTTAATTTACGTACATACACCTTTTTTATGCTGTTTTAATGCAACCTGGGTTAATAAATGTTTATTTGTTTACTTCAACTTATTGTTATCTTTATTGTCGCACGATAATAATTATAGTAACGAATAGTTTTTTCACTAAATATGCAAAAATAAAAGAAAACAAAATCAACCCTCCGACCTTGGATTTCACGTTCCGTCTGCCCGATCTTTACCTCCGCGCCCTGAGAGCGCGACGTTTCGATCAGCCTGACGCCGTCCTCAGACCCCACTCGAGCCTCCACCTGCCGGTCCTACCCTGTGCCCAAGCGGCGTTTCCTGGGGTGTTAAAGGGTAATATTTATAAAGCGGCATTAATTCCCCAAAAAGGGAAGAAACGGCGGAAGGCAGTTTCGAGTCCCGCGGCGTCCCCGGCCGCCTATGATCCCAACGCCGCGCCGGCGGGCGCACCTCAAAACTTCTTTCCAGCCGCACGCCGGACCGGTCACGTGACCTCCCCCTGTACATTATATTACACAGTGAACGCGTATCGCCGCCAGTTCGTGGTGTGTACATAGAGTGTTACGGTAACTGCCACAGCCGTTTTTAGTTTTCGTGTGTGTGTTTAGTATTAGTTTTCCGATTTTCGAATGTATGGTTTTCCGTTCTGGTGATTTTGCGGCTGTGATCGTCTACTTCTACCTACGTTCGCCCTTTTTTATTTGTAAGTAGGAAGCGCTGGGTGTTTTCGTATTTACATAACGGGAGGCTTTTCCGGTCGATTTTCCGAATTTCGCAGGCCTTCCCACCTGGGATGGGAGCCTAACCTCAAAATTTGACGTTTGGGCAAGGCAGATGCGATCTCGCCGATCGAACGCCGATTGGGCGGGTAATTAGCGCTTTTTGTGACCGGTCCGGTAAAAAATATCGTGAAATATTTTTCTATTATTATCAGCGCACCGGATTCGGCGATCTTATGGCTGTAAAAGTAATTTGTTCAGTTATCGTTTGGTATTTAGCACTCGTGCTCGTAAATGCATGTGATAGGATATTAACCCTCGGATTATTGCGTTTAATGACCGGAGTTTACCTGACGTCTTTGAAAATTTTCCAAAATCGATTTGGATATGCATGATGCAGTCTAATTAAATATTTCAAAAATAAATCAATTGTCGTCAGATCATTGAACCGCTGTAGTTCGTCCTTAAAGGAGTTAAATTAAATCACATGATGAAGGCTTCTAGAGGTTGTGGTTCTACAGCTTCTAATACCATCGATTATATATTTTTTTGTAGTATATTATAATGCATACACGGAACGGTGCCAGTGAAACATACTGTAAATTTATATAAAAGAAAAATCTGAATGCGCGAAAGTGTTAATCTGATGTATCGGCAACCAACTAACTGTAGACGATGACATCACGTCTTGTAAAATACTGAAGTGTTTGTAACAAAATATTCATATAAAAAATTGGAATTTTGTACGACTTTAATATATGCACAAAATTATACAAAGTATGAAAACAAAAAAAATATCTTGAATTGAAATAATTTTTGACATATCACTGCTGATTTTCGGTCGTCTATAGCTGTAGCCTTAGTAGCTGATATCACCAAATTATCAGATGTTGATTTTGCGATTAACATAGCACTTCTTACGAACTTTTTTCTGCTTTTAAAGAATGATAAGTCAGTTTTAATCGCGGCTGATTTGGTAGCACTTTTATCAAGAATTAAGGAATTAAAATAATCTGTATCTATGTTAGAACAATCCTTAAAATATTTAAAAAATAAATAACGATTAAGAATAGTGGTATAAGTAATTAGCAAATCGAAAAAGTTTGGTTGCAAGGTTTTATACAGGGTGGGTTCTACTTTGACGAATAATTTGTACAGAATGATTTTTCTTGTTTACTCACACGTGACCAATAGTCTCCGTCTTTATCTAACGCACATTATAAACTTAATAAACGAAAAAGACTGCCATAGTCAAATTATTAATTTGTAGTCGTATGATCGATATATGGCATTTCCGGTCGTTTCGTGTCACGGTTAGTGCTGTAGGTTTTGCTTTTTCCAAGTACCCTTCGTTTTCCTCTGTTCATAACGCTTGTTTGTCATTGATTTTTTAGTAATGTCGCGATATTTATTATGGAGGGATGTTCCCACTCTGTGACTAAGGCAGTAATAGATTTGATTCAGTCGCAACTTACAAAAATCGACTCTATACAGCTATGCATTTAGCACTACAAATTTAGCCCTAAAACTACGATATTGTAAAACCTGAAAAAGAAAATTCAATTGAAATAAATGAGCTCCATACTATTTTTAAGTCATGATAAAACTATTTAAGATGCTAATCATTTTTAATCACGTCCATCTGGGCACATTTAACTAACGAATTAAAAAATTAAATGATAACACGACACTTTTTAACTCGTTCATGGAATGTTTTAATTGCAGCTACTGTACATTTACATTCTGTCGTAAAATTGCAGTGAGTGTAAAAACTAAAAATAAAGTTGAGTCGGAATGAATTTTGATTTATATGACTGCTGCAAAGTACAGCTCAAAACAACGTCAGCCTTAGGTCTCGGTCCAAATTACAGTGGCTGACTATGAAATAGAGCCAACAAATTGGAAAGTGAAATTATAGTCATTTTTAATAATTATACCTAAATCATTTCACATTAAAGGCATTAACATAATTCCGAATCTGAGATCATCTAAATCGTCGGATTTTATTTTCATGGCGACCAAAGTCGACAGCATTATTTCTCTTATTATGTAATCGTACAGGTACGTAACAAATGATTCTATCTAGGTATATTATATATACTCAATTTATTATGCTAAATTTGATTCGAATATTTTCATGTTAATTTATATGCATTTAGGCTATTATTATTATTATTTTTATTTTTATACTTGATGTTTATTTAATCTAGGTAAAACTTTTGTAGTGCATTCCGCTTGCAGTGAAATAAGTGGCGGCGTTTTTCATGGTACGAAGTTAAATATTTATCAGATAAACTATTTTTTCACACTTTGAACTTAATTACCATTAAAATGATTTATACATTCTGACGCTATTTGTTTTTTAATATAAAAAAACTGAAAATATGTTGTTTATTGCCTTTTGTTACTTACTGCTTTTCCACAAATTATGACTCTATTTTTATATTAAAAAAATAACCATGATTTTTTTAAGTTTCGGTGAAAACGCTAACCTACTAATTTATGAATCACGGAAATAATACCGACATTTATGTCTTTTCTTAGGTTATAGGTTGTCGTAGTCGTAAACAATACGCTTCTTTTGACCCCTTATTTTATTATCATTGTTTGAATTTTCAACACAAACAATTTTTGCATTTGTTGTGTTTGTTGCAAGTTGTATGTCATTTGAATATAATACTGAACTTTGGATGTTTTCTTTATTTTTTTCCACTGGAATTTACCGAAATTATAGCCTCGGTAACAATTAGTTTCGGTTTTCGAATTGACCTCTTGACACACTAACGTCACTTAAATTTATATCGTTATGCTAAATCTTTAATTGTTGCTCATGCTGAGTTCGACGTGTAGGTTCTAAAATTCCTAAAATGTATTTCACACGTTTTTTCCCACACCTCCTACGGTTATATGTAGTTAATCGGTTATAAAAGTAACAAAATTTCGTCTTGTAAATTAACAGGGGCGAAAATGATATTCTTACAAAACGAAAAAATGAAAATGTTTAGATTTAAGTTGATTACTACAAAAATTTACCATTTTAGACATGTTTTATGTTTCTTGTTGTCGAAATAAGTCTACACATGTTCAGAAAAAAAAAGCAAAATGTAGCCCCGCCCACCCGCCCGATTTCAATTCTGATGATTTTTTTATTCATCGTGAACCAAGCTTTACTGCAAAATCCTTATTTCCCTACGAAAAATTAAAAACATCTTTTTGAGTATCGTGTTGTTCAAAAAATCCTGTGTATATTAAGAAAAAAATAAAGCCAAAAATTAGGCCCCACACGTAGCCGCCCCGATCTCAATTCTCAATTGTGATGAGTTTTTCATTTGTTGTCAGATCGAGAGACGGGGCTTAATTGCAAGATCCATTTTTGTCTATAAGAATTTACCATTTTAAACATGTTTTAAGTTTTTTGTTCTGAAAAGACATCTACGAATATTAAGAAAAAAGGCATAATATAAGCCCCGCCCACCCACCCATGTCTCAATTGTGATGATTTTTTTATTCGTCGTGAGCCAAGGAGACGGAGCTTAACTGCAGAATACTTATTTCAATATTAAAAACATGTTATTGAGTTATGTGTTGTTCAAAGAATACTATGTATATTAAGAAAAAAATAAAGCCGAAGATTAGGCCACACCCATACCCGCCTCGATCTCAGTTCTCAATAGTGATGACATTTTCATTCATTGTCAGTTCCAGGGGCGGGGCTTAATTGCAAGATCGATATTTGTCTACAAGAATTTACCGTTTTAAACATATTTTAAGTTTCTTGTTCTGAAAAGACAACTACGTATATTAAGAAAAAAGGCAAAATATAAGCCCCGCCCACCCGCCCTATCTCAATTGTGATGAAATCGTTATTCTTTCTCTACAAGAAATTACCGTGTAAGACATGTTTTTGAGTATCGTGTTATTCAAAGAATACTATGTATATTAAGAAGAAATTAAAGCCAAAGATTAAGCCCCACCCATATCTGCCCTGATCTAAATAGTAATGAAGTTTTCATTCGTTGGCAGACCTAGGGGCGGAGCCTAATTGAAAAATCCGTATTTCCTTACGAAAATTGACCATTTTAAACGTGTGTAAATTTCTAAGAATAAAAAAAATTATCACAATTGAGAGGGGGTGTGTGGGCGGGGTTTACATTTTGCTTTTTTTCCTTAACATACATTGTATTCTTTGAATAACACGATATTCAAAAACATGTTTGTGATTTCTTGTAAAGAAATAAGTATCTTGCAGTTAAGTTCAGCCCCCTTGGTTCACAGCTAACCAAAAAAAATCATCTGAATAGAGATAGGGTGGGTGGGCGGGTTTACATTTTACCTTTTTGTTTTAATATGATTGTGTAGACTTTTTTCACAACATGAAACTTAAAATACGTTCAAAATGGAAAATTTGTATAAGGAAACATCGATTTTGCAATTAGGCTCTGCCCCATAATTGCAAAATCCATATTTCCTTGCAAAAATGTACCATTTTAACCATGTTCTTGCTGTAAAACGATGGCTATGTATATTAAAAAAAAAAGGCCAAATATAAGCCCCGCCCACCCGCCCTATCTCAATTGTGATGATCTTTTTTAATCGTCGAGAGCCAAAGGACCGAAATTTAATTGCAAAATCATTATTATTTCTCTACAGGAAATTACCACGTAAGATATGTTTTTGTATATCATGTTATGCATAGAATACTTTGTATGTATATATTAAGAAAAAATTAAAGCCAAAGATTAAGCCCCACCCATACCTGCCCTGATCTGAATAGTAATGAAGTTTTCATTTGTTGGCAGACCTAGGGGCGGAGCCTAATTGCAAAATCCGTATTTCCTTACAAAAATGTACCATTTTAAACGTGTTTTAAGTTTCTAGGAATAAAAAAATCATCACAATTGAGGAGGGGTGGGTGGGCGAGGTTTATATTTTGGCTTTTTTTCTTAATATTACATAGTATTTGTTGAACAATACGATATTCAAA